AAAAATACTGGACAACCTCCATCATTTTAAGCATGAAGCAATCAACTTAACATAGTAAGTTTTTCAATCCACTTAATAAAAATACAAGGGCACATATCCGCATTTATTTATTGACTTTTCATTAGTTCTAAATCCTTGAGGGGTACAGCATCTGTGAGGAAAAAAAGGACATATAAAACATTAGGTGAATGTTTACAAATATTATCAAGAACCGTAATATGGATAAATCTCTGAAAGGCAACCAATGACACGTTCTAGTGGTAAGGACAGTTTTTATAACCTTCAGTTTCTACACGAACATGCTTTAAGAACCAGCACTCTTAAACATGTACTGGCTGGGCATGGTGGCTCACCCGTAATCCCAGCACTTTGGGAGGCCAAGGCGGATCACGAGCAAGAGATTGAGACCATCCAAAACCCCATCTCTACTAAAAATACAAAAATTAGCTGGGCATGGTGGCGCATGCCTGTACTCCCAGCTACTCAGGAGGCTGAGGCAGGAGAATCGCTTGAACTTGGGGGTCAGAGGTTGCAGTGAGCTGAGACCACACCACTGCACTCCAGCCCGGCGACAGTGAGACTCTGTCTAAAAACATATATTGGAGATACATTTAATTTTGCTTCTTCTAAAGGTAGAGTAAAACCCTCCTCTGTTGATAACCCCTAATGAATCACTTAGCAGAGTTCAATGGTAAGTACCCCATGGTCCCAAGAATATAAAGTCTACATGCCAAAACAGACCCTAAAGAAAAAGAAGGAACTATTTGAGAAAAATTACAGGAGAAAATTGAGAAAGCCTGGCACCAAAGACCTGAGACCTAGGAACATAAGTATCTGTTTTCTTCGTGAACAAAATAAAGCTGCTAACACCTATTCTAACAAGACTGATAAGATGGAACTGGCAAAGTATTAACAATTATGCCAGGCGTTAACTGTTAAATTTTTGCTTTCTAGCAATTACTTCAGTGCCCAAAAAATATCTTCACTGGTAAACTATTCAAAGCTGTCTATGGTGGTTCAAGCATGTAATAATCCCAACACTCTGGGAGGCCCAGGTGGGCAGATCACTTGAGCTCAGGAGTTCAAGACCAGCCGGGGCAACATGGAGAAACCCTGTCATTGCAAAAAATACAAGAAATTATCTGGGCATGATGGTACATGCCTGTAATTCCAGCTACTCAGGAGACTGGAGGCATGAGAATCACTTCAACTAGAGAGGCAAAGGTAGCAGCGAGCCAAGAACATGCCACTGCACTTCAGCCCAGAGAGTTAGACCATGTCTCAAACCCCTACCCACGCCCCCCGCCCAATAAAATTAGATGGATGTGGTGGCACATGCCTATGGTCCCAGCTACTTGGGGAACTGAGATGGGAGGACTGCTTGAGCCCAGGAGGTCGAAGCTGCAGTGAGCTGTGATCATGCCACTGCACCCCAGGCCCCAGGCTGGGTGACGAAGTGAAACCCTGTCTCAAAATAAAAAAAAATAAATACCTATTCTTTCAATTACTATTTATCTCCACTGCTCTGCAATACACAAATTTTGCAGCATAATTTACTGGTATCAATGTCACAATCAGAGGTCCGTAGAAGTCATAACCCAACACCTTGAACTTAGTCTGACTCGTCAGAGTTCCATTTTGCTAAAAATTGTACTCACCACTCGGATTCTGTGTCCAATGGCCTTAGCAGGAAGGTTGCTTCGGAATTTGGCACGAACCATGCCACTGTTCCCATGGGCCCGAGTTACCTTTCCCCAGATTACTCTGGTTTTGTTTGGTTTGCCACCAGGAGTCACTGTGTTGCTGATTTTATAAAGGAAAGAAGAGGAATACAGACCAATACAGTGAGATACAAATTCAAGGTGACCTCTAGATGAGCAGTTCTCAACGCACTTAATCACCTGAGAAACTTTAAATGCCTGGAACACCACTCATTCCACAGATATTTATTGAGTACCTACTGCATGCCAGGCACTTCTGTAAAATACAGCAGCTATAAAAAAAAAATCTGTTTCACACGATAACCAAGTATAAGGAAAATACATAGGTGGTCAGATAACAGAAAATATTGAAAAAAAAATTAAAAAAAGGACAAGTATGAGGACATTTGTATGTACTGCAATTTTAAATAGCCACGGAAGGTCTGACTGAGGTGACAATGGAACGAAGACTGGAAAGGGAAGGAAGTGCCATGAAGTCAGCAGGGGATGACTAGTGCAGGCATTGGAGGAAGACCCAAGGAGGTTAATCCCAGCTGAGATAAGAGAATTATGGAACCCTTAATGACCAGCTTTTAGTGAATGAGACAAACCACTGAGGTTTGAGCAATGCACAAAGGATGTGACTTTATATATATTTCCTTTAATTAGACAACAGCGTTGTCTTTCACCCAGGCTGTGGTGCAGTAGCCCAATCATAGATCACTGCAGCCTCCATCTCCTGGCATCAAGCAATCCTCCCACCTAGGCCTCCCAAACACTTACCTGGCCACTGACTTAAAATGTTAAAGGAACACTTTGCTTGCAGATGAAAAGGTGGGGCAATGATGAAAACACTTTCCCAGAGATTTTAATTGGCCTGGAGCGGGTTAAGAAAATAGGATTGGCTGAGCACTGTGGTTCAGGCCTGTAATCCCAGCACTTTGGGAGGCCAAGGCAGGCAGATCACGAGGTCAGGGGTTCTAGAGCAGCCTGGCCAACATGATGAAACCCATCTCTATTAAAAAGACAGAAATTAGCCTGGCATGGTAGCACACGCCTGTAATCCCAGCTACTGGGGAGACTTAGGTAGCAGTGAGCCAAGATCACTCCAGCCTGGGTGACAGAGCAAGATGTCCTCTCAACAAAAAGGACTAATGTCTACAGTATCAACACCTTTAGGCATGCATAAAAGCTGCAATTTTGGCCTGGTGCAGTGACTCACACCCGTAATCCCAGCACTTTGGGAGGCAGAGCCGGGTAGCTCACTTGAGGTCAGGAGTTCGAGACCAGCCTGACCCAACATTGTGAAACCCTGTTTCTACTAAAAATACAGAGATAGCCAGCATGGTGGTGAATGCCTGTTACCCCAGCTACTTGGGAGGCTGCGGCAGGAAAATCGCCTGAACCTGGGAGGTGGAGATTGCAGTGAACTGAGATTGTGCCACTGCACTCCAGCACGGACAACAAGAGTGAAACTATGTCCCAAAAAAAAAAAAATCTTAATTCAAGGCATCAACAAAATGCATTATGCACGAAAAGCGTTCTAAACAACCTTAAATTCTGGCCAAAGGAGCCGAGAAAAAAATTAAAAACCTTAAAATGATCACAATTTAATAAGGAATTCATTCGCTCCTTTATAAGTGCCAAAAGTTCCCAAATCCAACACCACCCTCAAAAGTAATGTCCTTCTAAAACTCCCCATTAAGTTCAATGACGCAAAATAGGGCCACAGCAACACCAATTCAGCCTGGCCAACATGGGAAAACCCAGTCTCTAATAAAAAAATACAAAAATTAGCAGGGTGTGGTAGTGAACCCCTTGAAGCCCAGCTACTCAGAAGGCCAAGGCTGGAGAATTGCTTGACTCGGGAGACGGAGGTTACCATGGGCCAAGATCGCACTGCCTCCCTTCAACCTGGGCAAGAGAGCAAGTCTCTTGTCATAAAAACAAAAAAAACCAATACCAGATACTTCAGCCACCTCTTTTGTTTATTCTTTCAATAGGAAAATGAGGCCTGGAGAGGTGGCTCACGCCTGTAATCCTAGCACTTTAGGAGGCCGAGGTGGGCGTATCACCTGAGGTCAGGAGTTTGAGAGCAGCCTGGCCAACATGACAACCAACCCCCAAACCCCCCAACCCCCCTCTAGTAAAAATACAAAAACTAGCTGGGCGGGTGCCTGTAATCCCAGGTACAAGGGAAGCTGAGGTAGAACTGCTTGAACCCAGGAGACGGAAGTTGCAGTGAGGGAGATAGCTCACTGGACTCCAGCCTGGGTGACAGAGCAAGAATCCATTATTTAAAAAAAATAAAATGAGGCAGATCGGAAATAAAAACCCGAAATTTGCCAGTATCATAAACTTACTTCTTTGCTTTGTATACATAAGCACATCTCTTGCCCAAATAGAATTCTGTTTCATCTCGGGCATAAACACCTTCAATTTTAAGAAGAGCTGTGTGCTCCCTTTGGTTCCGAAGACCCCGCTTATAGCCGGCAAAAATAGCCTTGGACCACAGCCTAAGAAACAAAAGATACACAACATGAAATACAATCTTCAACGAACCAATTAGACCTGCAATAACCTCCACCCAAAAGTTACCTAGAGCAAACATCTAATTTTTTTCTTAACAATTTTAAGTTGTCATTTACGTTCACGTCTAACAAAAAAAGAGCAACTATATTTAAAACGCGTACCTTCCAGACATAGTTCCTTTTGTAAGTCCTGTTCCCAGCGGGCCTTAAAACAAACAGAAGATTCAGTTTGAAACCAAGCCACACAAGTTTCCCACCGCGTCCCTCCCATTTAAGCCTCTAAGGCGAATTCCTTTTGAATCGGAATTTCCTGGAAGAGTAGGCGGACACAATCATGCCGGAACATCCATATGAAACGCGGGGTCCGGCCAGACACTGGAATCTAAGCAAACTTAACAGTGAGACAAAACTAAGGGACAAGAGTCACCAAACAACTCTTAGAAAAGCCCGGGAACATTCAGGCCATCATCAGCAGGCATCACCCGGGAAAAGAAACGAAGACTTCAGCAGAGAAACACACCCAAGGCTTTTATACGTTGGCGGGGGAGAAAAGCTGAGGAAGAGCGGCGGTTACGCAAAGGGAGGTTTGCACTGGGGGGAAACAAAAACCCTGTCCTAAGAAAGCACGGCCTCACAGAACTGCAGACGAACACACACATGCATTGCACTCCGCTCGGGCCCAGGAATTTAACTTCAATAACCCGGGCAGCCGTTCTCCGGGCGTCAGGGGACCGAGCACAATCAGTCCAGCATCTCCTCCATCCTGTTCTCTCTCTTCTTGAAACCATAGAAATCAATGGCTGGCAGATTCCGATATGCACCGGCAACTCGCTAAAGCAGAAGAACAAACTTACTGCAGTTATTTACCTCCAAATTTCAGCAGCAGGCGCCTCTCTCGCCTCCACAAGTGCCAAGATGGCGGGAAGAGAAGGACGAGGCCCCGCCGCGTGGCCTTGTGGGATGAAGCGCCGCTCGAACGCGCCCTCCATTTAGGCATCTTCTGCTAACGCCAGAAAAGCAGCGCTCGGAAATCGTCTTCGGACTGAAATAAGTCACGTTCAAGAGCACTCTTACAATTGTTTTCCTCAATCTTTTCATTTTGTCAGGCCGCAAGCTAAGCCTATTGGCAACAGGGGAAGGCAAAACAGTAGCCAGCTAAACCCGCCAGCGCCCTGCGTTGCCATGGAAACGACTTAGCGTGCTCCGGGCGTCCCCGGAAGCTGTAGGCGGAAAGGCGAAGCTGCCGGTGTAGAGGACCGTGCCACTGCCTGAAGGCTGATGGATTGTAAGATTGATTTGCGAACAAATCGAGGGTGCTTTTCCTTCGATTCAGACAGCAATAGACAGATCGGAGACGCTACCCTAGCATGGAAGAGAAAGGCCGGGAGCGGGAAGGCAGCAGGAGCTCTTCCTTTTTTCTTTTTCTGTACTTATTTTCTCCCCTCTACTTATTTATGTCTTCAAGAAATGAGACTGGGCACGGTGGCTCACGCCTGTAAACCCAGCTCTTTGGGAAGCCGAGGCGAGAGGATCGCTTGAGGCCAGGAGTTCGAGACCAGCCTGGGCAGCATAGTCAGACCATCTCCCCCGCCCTCCCCTATCTCTACAAAAGAAAAAAAAAAATTTAAAAAAGAATGAAATGGCCGGGCGCGGTGGCTCAAGCCTGTAATCCCAGCACTGTGGGAGGCCGAGGCGGGTGGATCACGAGGTCAAGAGATCGAGACCATCCTGGTCAACGTGGTGAAACCCCGTCTCTACTAAAAATACAAAAAAATCAGCTGGTCATGGTGGCGCGTGCCTGTAATCCCAGCGACTCAGGAGGTTGAGGCAGGAGAATTGCCTGAACCCAGG